AACACAGGGGATTATTCCAATTTTTTTGCCTGTTGAGGTTTGCTATGTTGCTGAGTATGTGGTCAATTTTTGAGAAGGTTCCATGTGAAGCTGAAAAGAAGGTATATCCTTTTGTGTTTGGATGGAAAGTTCTATAGATGTCTGTTAATCCCAATTGGGTCTTAACTTCTGTTAGTTCCTTTGTGTCTTTGTTAAGTTTCTGTCTGGTGGTCCTGTCCAGTGTTGAGAGTGGGGTGTTGAAGTCTCCCACTATAACTGTGTGATATCTTATTTGTGATTTGAGTTTTAATATTGCTTCTTTTTTAAATGTTGGTGCCTTTGTATTTGGGGCATAAATGTTTATAATTGAGTCTTCTTCCTGATGGATTTTTCCTGTGATGAATATGAAATGACCTCCTTCATCTCTTTTGATTGATTTTAGTTTAAAGTCCAATTTGTTGGATATTAGGATTGCTACCCCAGGTCATTTCCTCTGTCCATTTGATTGGAATATCTTATCCCAACCTTTTACTCTGAGGTAATGTCTGTCTTTGAATTAGAGGTGTGTTTCTTGTATGCAGCAGAAGGATAGATTCTGTCTTCATATCTAATCTGTTAGCCTGTGTTTTTTTATAGGCGAGTTATACCCTCATTAATATTGAGGGTAATTAAGGTCCATTGAGTGTTTATTCTTGTTTGTTTTTGATTTGTTGTTGGTAGTGGTATTGTATGTAGATTTACCCTGCTTTTTCTTTTGGGTTTTTGTTATGTGGGATTATCTATTACCTATGTTTATGTGATTGTAGTTAATTTCCTTAGTTTGGAGTTTTCCTTCTAGCAATTTCTGCAGGGCTGGATTAGTGGTTACATATTGTTTAAATCTGGTTTTGCCGTGGAGTATCTTTTTTTTCTCCATTTATAGTGATTGAAATCTTTGCTGGGTATAGTAGTCTGGGCTTGCATCCATGTTTTCTTAGAGTTGGTAGAATATCTATCCAGGTCCTTTTGGCTTTCAGCATTTCCAGGGAGAAGTCTGGTGTAATTCTGATAGGTTTGCCTTTATACGTTACTTGGCCTTTTTCCTTTGCTGTTCTTAATATTCTTTCTTTATTCTGTACATTTGGGGTTTTAATTATTATTTGATGAGGGGACTTTCTTTTGTGGTCCATTCTGTTTGGTTTTCTGTAGGCTTCTTGTACTTTCATTGGCATGTCTTTTTTTAGGTTGGGAAATTTTCTTCTATGATTTTGTTGAATATGTTTTCTGCACCTTTGAGTTGGGTTTCTTCACTTTCTTCTATATCTATTATCCTTAGGTTTCGTCTTTTCACGGTGTCTCTTATTTCCTGGATATTTTTTGTTAAGGATTTGTTGGACTTGAGATTTTGTTTGCTTGATGAATTTATTTTCTCTAGTTTATCTTCATCGTCTGAGATTCTGTCTTCCATCTCTTGTATTCTGTCGGTTATGCTTGCATCTGTGCTTCCTGATGGTTTACTCAGCTTTTCCACTTCCAGCATTCCCTCAGTTTGTGTTTTCTTTATTGTCCTTATTTCAGTTTTCAGTTCCTGAACTGCTTCCTTCAGCTTTTTAATTGTACATTCTTGGCTTTTTTGGCTTTCCTTGATTTCTTGTATCTTTTGCTTCGTCTTTCTTCTATTTTTCTGAAGGATTTTCTGATTTCCTCTCTTAGGATTTCTATCATCTGCATGAAGTTATTTGTAAGGTTGCTCTCTTTTGCCTCTTCTGTGTTGGGATGTTCATGTCTTGCTGGTATAGAGTCCCTAGACTCTGGTGGTGTCATATTGGTTTTCCTGCTGTTGGATGTGTTCTTATATTGTCATCTTCCCATCTCTTCTTCCAGTGGGTACAGCTGGTGTCACTTCCTTTCCTGGTGTGTATGGGTCCAGTATTCTCTTCAGGTGGGTGCAATTGGGTGTGATACTTTGATGGGTCTCAAGGTGATTGCAGGAAGTTTTGAGGCACTCGTTCTCCAGGTGGATGAGAGCAGGACTGGTGCAGAGATGTCAGCAGACTCTGGGTTGATTGGTCCTCAGGGGTCAAGTTGACCTGCCTGCAGACCCCTGGGCAGGAGTTCCCAGAGTGGGCAGGTGGAAATTGGGCCCAGGGCAGGGGCTGAAGCAGCTCACCTCTGCACTTTGTGGGAGCCTGAATAGCCCAGCGATTTCAGCAGAGTCAGGGTCACTGGGTCCTCAGGGACTGTTCAGTCTGCCTCTGTTTTTTCTTTCTTGGGACATGTCTCTGTGGCACTCTTGTCATTCTTGACAGTGATGTCTCATAGTCATACAGTGCTCTGGGCATTCACAGTATTTCTCAGGAAGGTGGTGCAGTAGAATTAAAGGTGAACTTCCTGGGAGAAAGGAAACTCCTTTCCATAAGGCATGGATGCAGAAGAAGGACTTTTGGGGTGGAGTTCAGGGTGGAGCCCACATGATGACTTAGAGGTATTCCCCTGGCTGTCCATGCAACAGCTGTTTTATGGCTATGGGTACCTATATCTCTAGGGCTCAAAGTCTAAAGTCACTAGGAGGTTCCAATCTAGGAATTAGTTCCACAGGGAAAGAAGGGCACTAGAAACTAGGATCAAAGGCAGGAGCTAGGGATTCTATCACTGGGACTAGTAAAGTCTCTAGGGCAGTCATATTCAATAGGAGTTGGGGGTAAGGTGTCCAATGATTATTTCACATTGGTTGCCTAAGACCATCAGAAAACATAGATGTTTGTATTATGATTTATAACAGTAGCAAATTACAATTATTAAGTAGCCATGAAAATTATTTTATGGTTGGATTTTACCACAACAGGGGGAACTGTATTAAAGGGTCCCAGCATTAGGAATGTTGAGAACCACTGACCTAGGATGTCCTGGGTTATGTACCATATACCTTTCTTACTATAGATATTTTCCCACTGGGAAGAAGGCTGCATCTTGGCAGATCTGCCCCAGGACACTTGCTAACTATTATAAAGTCATGTCAAGACCCACATCTCCTTGTAAACTTGAACTCAGGATGCAAAGGTCCCTTTTTATTTTGACTGTTGGCTGTGATCTCTAATGCAACTAACTTTACCTTTTTGTCCTAACACCACATAGACTGCTCTTTGAACAAATGTAGTAAGGTTTCAACAGTTATCACTCAGTGCTGATTGTCTAGTCATAACCACCATGTGGCCCTGGGTAGCACCTGAATTTAAACTGTATCATTTTATATCTTTGGAACCTTGGCCATTGTGAGTTCTGGATAGGATGGAGGCAGCTCTTCTCTGATAAGAGAAAGATGTGACTGCATTTTAATAATAAAGGAAAGATCCTGACAGACACTAATGTAGGATGAACTTAAGCTGAGGCTTCCTGACTCTCATGTCTTTTGTTCAAAACTCCATCATTAGTATGAGTTTTTCTTGAGTATATGTATCAGTGGGAATAAAGCCAAGAAATCTGACTCTGATGTTTGTGTGTGATCTCCTGAGAACTAGAGTATGTGCTTGTGTATGTGTATGAATTATGACCTCCTGGGTGAGGGACAGTGTACAACATTGGAAATGGTGACCATCACAGATGACCTCTGCTTCATCTTTAGGACATTTCACACACCCAAAGGCTCCATTGATCTTGGGCATGCACATGCATTTGTGTGAATGGAAGGTGCTGTGGGCATGTATAAAGTGGCTGCATGAGCGTCACTTTGTGTGCATCACAGAGGGGAATGCACATGACTGTGAACTGAGCCATTCTTATTCTTGCTCATTGCTTCCAGGCTGTAGAATCACTTTCTGGTTACACATTTCATCCCCTTGGGAATCTTGTGTTTTGAGTACTTGTCCTTGGCTGGGAACTCAGAGTTCTGTGCTCTCACTTTCCTGTGTACCTCAACATGGCCATCAGGAGACTTTCTGTATTGCTTGAACATTCTGTGCTTGACGACTTGGACTTTCCCCTTAGTCAGGCACTGAGTGTCCATTCTGTCCTCTCCTGCCCTTCCTCAGAACTGGCCTGCAGTAGCCCAGCAAACTGGTAGGTTAGGAGACTAGGAAGTAGGTCCTGGTTGCAGACAGTGGCTTCAAAAGAAGCCTGTTCCAGGAAGCAGACACGGCATTACCAGGGAAGTCTGTCCATGAGCACCATGGATCCTGATGCAGGAGCAGTTTGAAGCAATGTGGGAACATGACAAACACTGTGTGCAACACTTGGAACTTTATTGCTGAAAGAAGAGAAGATGTAGAAACTTGTGTGAGGGACAGCCAGGTAAAGAGAGACTATTCAGCAGAGATGTAGTCAAACAGACTGTGTAACAGCCATGTAAAGACAATGCCAGACTTCACAATGATGTTTAACTCCTTTTTCTCATAAGCAAAAAGGGCATAAGGTTAGATTGAGTAAGAGATATTGATCTGGGAGAATTATATTGGATTTTTTAGTGGGCTTGATGATGTCACAAGAGTCTTTGCAATAGTTAAAGAAATTAGGATAGAGGGCTTTGGAGCAGGTGTGAAAGTCCAGTGTCAAGAAATGATGGTTTATTCTGTGAAGGGGAGGAGGGGGACTCTCCAGAGAACCCTGCAGAAGAAGATTGGCCACACCAATAACTTGGTTTTCTCTCAGTGACACCCATTTCAGACTTCTGAGATCCAGATCTGTAAGATAATAAATCACCTTTCTTCATTTTAGACAACCAAGGTTGTGACAATTGAGCATTAGTGTTATGAAGAAGTCATGTACACAAAAATAAGATGACAGATAAATGAGAGGCAAGGCTCTCCTTGCTGGAGGACAGAGGAGATTAGCGATCAGATGTGGATAGCAGGAGACAGAAAGTCAAACAGGGAATCTAGAGGAAGGAAGGAATGGGGCAAGGACAGACAGGGGTACAGGAGGCAGGAGAGCAGATAGGAGTGAAGAAAGATGAGCAGATAGAAAGAAAGACGATGACAGGAACAGATGGCATGAAGCCAGAATGCCAGGCAGCATATTCATAGAGTCTGTCCTTGTCCCTACCAGAATCAGTGGATCTTCTTGAGATGAAGGTGGATCCCATTCTTGGATTTCAGCACAAGTCGTGGTAAGGGGATGGGGACTCTGGTTGGATCGGGCAGCAGCTCAAAACGCAGTAGGGTCAGAGCCACAACCACTTTCAGCTCATTCATAGCAAACTGTTTCCCAATGCAGTTCCTGGGTCAGAAAGGGACAATAACTCTCAATGACCTCTGACCTGAGCAGGGAAGGGCACTGAAATAGCCCAGAACCTCATTCAGGGCCTACCTTCACAGGTACAGTCTAGCCTCATTCATTAGACGCCATACCTACTTCTCCCCGAGGCTTTGGCTCTCCTGACTTTTGATTCAGCCTCTACAGTTTTCAAGGCTACTTTGACCCTAGTTCTTTTTAATTTATTTAATCTGTCATGCCAGTATTCTAAGGATTAGAGGTCAAACTTATGAATTATTTAAGAAGTTAATCATTGCTTAGTTTACTCTATTCAGGGAGGTCTAGGACATGGGTTCCAAAGAGTGGAGTCATTTTCAGGAGGGGAGTTCCTAAAGGGGACTGTGTAGAGTATCCTCAATTGTTGTCCCATCTGCCTCCTACTTAGGGTGTCTCTACCTCTCTTATCAACAACTGTGGCCTTCTAACTGTACTTGAGAAATGTCCCTTATTCCTCCTCCATTTTCTGTCCTGGGCATCCCTGGTCTCCCTGACTCTCCCTCCCAATGACCCTCTGTACCTCCGTCACGTGGGGATGCCTAGCTGCAGCCCCACCTTCTACTGGCTGCTGCCCCCACCAGTTTCCTGCCCATCTCACTTCCTACTTCAGATCAAGTTGTGTATGTGTTTGAGAATGTCTCCCCCCTCTCGGGTTATATTTTCCCAATATTCAGGCCAACAAGCATCTGGCTCTCATGTCTTTGCTGACTGCCCCTGTCCTTCAGGAGCACCTAAGGTACCATCATATTTAACGACATGCCACAGTCAGGAGGGCTTGGGATGATGTCAGAAACACAGAACATTCAGCAAACTGCTCAGTGAATGAGTAAAAGAATGGATTGGAACATATTTGACCACAGATGAATTTTTCTTTGGGAATACAGTTTTGAGTTGGAGGCTGTGATAGGGATTATCATTTATGCCCATATTTTTACCTAGCATAGCACCTGACACTGTCTTTCACACTTAAAATAATTATTTTTACTTGGCTCTAAAATTTAATTCATTTGAATTTAAGGCATGAAAAAATGGATGAAATACAATACAAATTAACAAAAAATTCTGACCAAAGCAAGGTTTGGTGGCCTGTACCTAAATCTCAGAATTGGGATGTTGAGGCAAAGGGAATATGAGCTCCAGGCAAGCCTGATCCTTCCTCAGAAAAATGTCAGCAGCAACATGGTTCATTCCAACTTTAGCTGAGTTTCCCAATGCTCCACTGTCATCTAGTCAGTGACATGTTTGGCAGTGAGTGGAGGTGAGAGCATTCAATCGTGAAGCACACCAAATGCTAGCCAGCTTGTGTCTGGAAGAACAACTGGCTTAAAGCCTGCTCTGTGAAAGCTGATTTGCCACTTGGGGAATTCATGAAGTAGAGGCTCTGCACTGCTTTTTAAAGCTCCCAGTGAGTCAGTTCCCACAGAAGCTGTTTAGAAGCATTAGAATTCCTTCGTCTGGTTCAGTAGCTACTTCAAGAATGTTTTATATTTCACTCACCAGGAACCTTAGTAAATACTATGTTATATATAAAACAGTTTTCTTAAAAACAGTTTATTCTTCTCCTCTTTAATGTTTTTTAGTCTGAAGACAGACTACACAGCCTCTAAGTGTAACTTAAAGGAAGATGTATTTTCTCTCAAGGTTTGACCATCCTCCATCTGCAAGAGGGATGAGATCATTAGCAGTGATTCTTTGTTGTGCTGGGAGAGACTGAGCAGGAGGAGTCCGTGTACAGAAAACTTTCTTCAAATGACCCACAGTAAGACTTTAAGTATCTTGCTGGACAGTTGTCCATGGTAGCTACCCAAGCAAACTAATGATGAGTTATAGTGATTCTAGAATTAGAGAACTACCTAGGAAGTGTGGAGGCTTGGATGAAGTGTGTAAAAATGCAGGGCCCTTGAGAGTATTGAAACTTGAAAAGCTGAATACCTGCTGATAAATTCACTTAAAAAAATCAATTTAAAGTCTTGCCCCTAAAGTGAGGGAAATATCAGAACACATGCGCATCCACTGACATAGAAATTTGACTGGCCAATGGGAAGTGTCATGGGTTAATATATTCATAGTGCCTTCTGAAATGCTACCCTCTGATGGGGAATGTACTGTGTATGTTTATCTTATTGATTGTTAAATAAAATACTGTTTGGCCAATGAGACAGCAAGTTAGACGGGACTAGGAGTCAAAGAGGATTCTGGGAAATGTAGTAGAGAAGTGGTGATCCAGGCAGGAAGTGACATAGCAAGGAGACTCACATTTAAGCCAAGGAGAAACAGGAAGGATCTCTTTTTCCACTCCTGCTCCAGCAGCACAATGTGATCCACTGGCAAGGAGGGATGCCAATAAGGCGTCCGATAAGATAAGTCTTATAAAATATATAGATGTATGATAATTAAGACTGAGCTAACAGATGAGGAATCCTAGTCATTGGCCAAGCAGCTTTGAACCTAATACAAGTTTCTGTATATTCATTTGGGCCTAACTCGGGCAGGCGGCTGGCGTAAAGCTCACACGTGGCGGTGGGGCTCAGGTGGCTTTTGGTGGAAAGATTTATCGCAACAACCCTCCCTATGTGCAGAGACACATCTCCTAGAAGATTTCTCCAATAGCCACCAATAGGATATACCTGGAAATGTCATGTATGCAGGAGATTAAAATTATCAAGGCATGCTGCAAAGTACATTCTATCAACACACACACAACATCTCACCTTGCTCCTCCTGAGAAGGGCAGGAATGAGTGGCTGTGCCGGGGAGAATCTGATGCAAACCTGGAAGGGTCAAACACCTGCAGGGAGACAGCATCTCAGTCAGGACAGGGAGAGGTTGAACCCCTACTTTCAACCCACCAGGGACAAGATGCCTATAGGTGGGGACAGCAGGAGTATTGGTCTGGAGGGTGGTTGCCCACCCGACTGTGGGGCCTCTTACCTCTGGGTTTGGCCACACCTTGGGGTTGTGGTGGAGTGCATAAATGGAGAGTGTGACTGAGACACCTGTGGGACAGACAGGGGTAGGAAAGAAGATGGGTTATACTCAGGGTGTGAATCCTTGGTTCCTGAGACAGCAGGGGACATACTAGCACAAAAGGTCTGGCTTATTCAGATCATTAGTTTGGGTAGATGTGGGTGACTTGGAAATGGACTGGAGGCACAAACCAGGATTATAAAAGTGTAGTTAAAGAAAGAGAACAAGAAAGATATGAACCTTTTTGGGAGTGAATCAACTCAGAACTTAAATTTGATGAAGGATTTTGACTAAAGATATACAATAATTCAGTCCCCCTCATAATCCCCCAGTTGTTTAAGTCTGGTTTTTGAGGTGAGTTAATAATGTTTCAGAGAGGGGTTATACATAATCACCAAAGTAATGTATGGCACAAGTAGGATTTTGACAGAATGAGGTGTGAGACAAAATATGATATCCTGACATTGCAGGAGTCTGGTGTCTGCTCATCAACCTGATGCTTCTCAGAGACTGGACTGTATATGACCCATGTCATAGAATGATTGATTATCTCCTTCATTTGCTTTGACCAAGAAAGAAACGCATTTCCTAACCTCTGCCTGATCCTTTATTTGTTCTTTATCTCCCAGTAAATAGATAACATCATAATATCACATTCAAGGGTTCTTTGTGAAGAATTTTC